CTTGTGTGTGCTTCCCGACAATCGATGTGACCTTGGTGAATGGCGTGACCACTGACCGCTGGGCAGCCAGCCACTAACCGCGCCCGAGCGCTGACAACCAGCCGCGAACAGCTGACTGCCGATTACGGACAGGTGACTGCTGTGATAGCTGACTGCCTACTGCTGACTGCATACAACTTACCTTTGCCTGCTGACCACTGACTGAGCTGCTGTCTGCTGATCGCTGTAGTGCGAGTCGCCGGTGCGGAGTCGTTCGGCTGACGGCCAAAGATCGTTACCTACCACCGTTTATGTAACAGAGGAGCACCACGGTCGCCCATGAGGGTAACAGACGGGTACTAACCCTCGACACTCTAGAGCCTTAGGGTAGCTACGAGGGGAACGCCCGGTCTCAAATGTCTTGGGATTGTGAGAGGAGTTTCGAGTCTGTGACGCCGTGGGATACCGCCGTGGCGGGCGGCTGGGTCGGTTGGCCGGCACAAACACCGATCGATCAACTCTGAACGGCCATCGCCGGCACGACGACCTTGTGTTGTCTGCCTGGCGGCGGTATTGGACGGTTATCACCGCGCCGCGGCCCGGATAGGGCCCACAACATGGCCACTCACAGATGCATCGCAATTAGAGTTGCAAAGTTTCCCCCAAAGGCTGCTACCGGCACCGCCCCGCCCCACAATTTTTTGGGGGGATACCGGCATGCTACCACGCCCAAAGCAAAAACACCACCTAATTACCGGCATACTAAAAAAACCTGCATTGTTGATTCCAGTTTACCCCTACAAGAATTGCCACATTTTCCTCTTAGTGTCCAAAGTTTGAATCATATGCTAATAATTTTTTTTTGTGCAAAACCAAAAATACCGGCATGCTACCGGCAAGACATGCCAGATACCACAAAAAACCTGCGGTAGTGAAAAATTACCGGCATGCCGGTAATGCGGTAGGGAAACTTTGCAACTCTAATCGCAATGTAGTCCGATGGGGACGAGCATTTGTCGCGTGGTGACAGCCCTAATGGATGTGAGACATGCCACCCGGCCGTAGGTTTTTCCCTAGACATTCTCATTCCTTGTGATTACGCTGGTACTGTGAGCGTTCTTTTTCTCGGCGACACAATCAGTCTTTTTGTCGTTGGTTTTTGTGTGGGCTCTGTGTTTGCGCCTGGGTGCTATGACTGCGCTGGCGCGACTCTGGCCCTGTCTGACGAATAGCAGTGGTGTTGCAAAGTCTGAGCGCCGCAACTGCATCCGTGCAGTGATTTGTTTGGATTATTGAACGCTGATGACACTTTTCCTGGTAATGTGCGAGTATCAGTGTGATTATCCGATGCATCGGTTGCTGTTACTGTTTTTTTTTTCGTTGCAATGATCCACATTTGATGTCTTTTATAACTAATCGGATCCGCGCTAGGGTCTTACTCAACAAATGGCACCTTTGAGCTGTCGCCCATCCGAGGAAATCCGCGTTCGGGCGTACAGGGAAGCTCCCCAGTTGTAGCTTAAAGTCGACGTGCGTGCACCAAAATTTTTAGTACATGATTAAGTGCATCCGTGTATTGTGAGGAAACAGCATGTTCCTTGTCAGAGGGGAGGCGACTTACACCTGTACGGTAACTGTTGGGCTGCAGTGAAGAGAGGATGTCCAATGTTCTCGCCCTGCTCTGCGGCTGTGGGCGTGTGTTCTCTATAATCTGAGGTATCACTCTGGGCGTCTGATCGGAGCCTCGCTGGCGGTGTGTGGGCTCGGCAGAAGGTATGCCGGATCTGCTGAGTCAGAGGTGCTCAGCGCACGTGCCGTGGGTGTTGGGAGGGCGGCAGACACCCCGTCCATTCTACCGCGGCGGCAGGTATTTCCGGGCAGCACACAGAACGGGGTGCGTACCGAGCTGTTAACGGTAAAAATAAGAAACACGTGTCGGATTTATAAGTGGGGGTCCATTGGAGGAAAACGGACTGTAAAAGTCCTTATAACCCAATACCCATCTACCCAAATGCTCTTCCGTTGCATCATAATGATTTGGGGTTGCCAAGTGAGCTGTCAGCCGTAAACAAAGAAAGCTGCAAGGCATTTGTAACCTCTGGTGCATTCATGTCCAAACAGTTCCCTTGCTGATGTCACTTAGCTCGATGAGTTACCCTTGTCCCATCACTGACTGGTGTCATCAGATGGAACTGTATATCCAACAGCGTCGGGTAACTTTATTTATAATGCAACGCCTCTCTAAAATGCCTGAAACCCTCCCCAGACCAGCACTGTCACGATTCCTTCCCCGAATGAGGGAGTATATTTTTCACACCTAACAGGCAGTAGTAGCCATTCGAATTATCTCCGTCCAAGCGTCCTCTGACGTTTTGTTTGAGCTCATGCCGTTGCCATGGTCCCATCTGTGCTGTTGCTCCTCACGATAGTGTCGTCAGCCCAGCGGCAGCAACTTCCACGAACGGGCAGACGGACTGACTGACAGATTGACGGACAGACTCACTGATTGACGGACTGTCTCATGGACGGACGGACGGACGGACGGACGGACGGACTGTCATTGAACTGACCAACGCACGCGAAAGTAAAAGCGGAGAGACGGTCGAACACGAATCACGACCATTCACGACTCATTTACAGCGTATTACGGAGACGGGTGATGATAGCTGAAGCCGTCACAGGGTGGAAATGACCCGACTGGCTCGATGACCATTCCCTGACAAATGGCTGGACCCCTCGCCGGAATCATACCTGACCGATGGGGTTAGTCAGTGGCGATTAACGTCGGCCAATGGCGACTGGCTATTGGTCACCGATCACTGACCACTGGTCACCGATCGCTGACCACTGGTCACCTGCCAGTTGCCACTGACGGTTTGTCGCCGGTCACTGATCGCACTAACGACTCCTGGACAGAGGGCAGAGAACTGCACAGTCTCCGAGTTTCTCTGTCCTCCGAGCGACGTGTCTGGAGTAGCCCGGCCAGACGTTGACATTTCGGGGCAGTGTTTGGTCAGCGATTATCGTCTCCAGTTGTGTTTGCAGACGTGTCCGAATGTTTGTAGCGAGACAGTGTGAACCGCTACTTGAGCTGCACGCACAATAGTATCAGTTCAGAGTCTGTTTGAGATGCTGTGCACACTTGAGATAAGAGTATTGGCTGTTGTTTTTTTTCTCCTTTTGACAAACTGACCAACATTCGACTAAACTCATATTCCATACCCATCCATAAGCCATCCTATTGAAAAATTCACGAACTGTCTGCTATCATTATCAGCCTCAAACAAGTTGCATTTGATGGTTCCCTGCATTCCTATGTCTCTCCTGATCTTTGTTGTAGGCTCACTGTGAGTGAAAACTGAGGAGCTCGTTCGGATGTCGGTGACCACTGACCACATACCGTCCCGCTCCCAGCCCGGCGCGGCCAGGTGCGGGTCCATGCTGCACACTGCACGCTGACCGCGCCGCCGCTGCTGCCGCCTGTGGTCAGCTGGCCTCTGCATTCCACGCGGCACTGGGTCGAGTCCGGGGTAGCCACCAGTCCCGTGTCACCGGCCCGGCCAGCCTACTCGAGCTGGGAGCCGAGTCTCACCGGAAAACCTGGCTGGGTCCGGGCGGAGTCTGCGACCCAGGGTATCTGCGCCGCTACCGTGGGAGCCATCCCTCGCTCCATCACCGCCCGGCTCTGCAGCCTACCAGCTACTGTCACAGGCTCAATACCACATAATGTATGATGCAGTACGAGAGGCTCACTGTCCGGAGTGCATGGTGCGGCGCCGTATAGATCAGCGTACGGCCTCGCCGGGCCTATACGCTGGCGGATCGCTCGTGGCCGAGCCGCCCGGCGTCAGGCGGCGGAAAGCCTTGGTAAAAACGGCCGCCGCTTTTTCGGCCGGGCGGCGTGGCGAGCTGTGCATTCCATCGGCCCGGCTCGGCGGCGCGGATTTGTGGACTCTGACTTAACCCGCACGGCTCGGCCCGGGCCGGGCAGAGTCGACCCGGGCCGCCACTGCGCTGTATCTCAGGTGTCGGCAAGGTGACCGTCCCGTGCAGCCGGCGCTGCTCGGCTCGCCGCGCTGCACAAACACAGCTCGGATGGCCGGCTGGTGGCCGGGGCACCTCCGGAGCTTTATTAGTGTGGCGCAACTCGGCCCGGCGAGCGGCTGAGGTGACGCCGTGTAGCCGCAGCTGGAGATGGACGCTGCCGGCGGCGGGACCGTGCCCGGACTGGTGTCTGCCCGTGCAGGCAGATGTGTATGTGGATGTTCAGCTGTCTCACAGGGTCCTGGGGCAGCCCGGCTGTGTGCTGATAGTTATAGGCAGCGTGGTGACTGGTATTTCCTACGCTAAAATGTTGCCACGAGCAGCAACTGGTCTATTGCTCAGAATTCCCGATGCAGTAGGTATTTTAAATGGCTGAACAAAATGAAGAAAAATTATGTTGACTGGGACATTTCTTGTTACAAATGGTTACAGCTCATTTAACACCAATCGGAGGGTCGGACTCGGAACACCATCTGTGTGTGTGCCGTCATTTTTCACGGACGCCGCGGCTGTGTCGGTGACCTTGATGGTGACAGCCCGGCGAATACCGACTAATGGTCGTACACACCGGGGGCGGGCGGCCGCCGAGGGGCGGAATTCAGAGGGAGGGGAGCGGACACCTGTCTGTACGCAGCTCCCGCCCCCGGCCCGCCGCGCTGGTGCGTGTCACCCCTGGGTCCGCTGCCGGCTGAACGGACGGACGGAGACCGGGCGGATTGTGTGTGGAGATGGACCCGGAGCGGCGCTGCGGTCTGCCGGCCGGCGGCCTATCTCCACTGGTACCGGGCCTCTGAACGGCGCCTTCCGCCGGCGGCCAGGTAACGGAGCGCGGCCGCGCCGGTCGAGTCGACCGCGCCGGTCGCCGGGTCGGCCGACTGCCGGCGCTGCGCCGCTCGCCGCCGCCGCCGCCGCCGCCGCCGCCGCCGCTCCATTGGCCCCGGCCGACGCGCGCGCCACGGCGGCGGCGGCGGCGGCGCGGCAGTGGTGAGCGAGAGCCGAGCCGGGAGGGACGTGCCGCGTCGGGAGCCGCCCGTGCCGTGCCGTGACGCGCTGTGACGTGACGCGCCGTGTGACTGTGATGTGAGAGAGGCCCGCCGCCATGCCGTTCCTACCGAGCGGCGGTCTGTTCTGGGAGAAACGCTCCAACTTCAGCCTGAATCTCAATGGCGGCGGCAAGTCGAGCAAGTACTATGACTCGAAGAGCGCCAGCCTGGACAAAGTGCGCAGCGTGTCGGCTCACGATCTGGGTGCCGAGCTGAACTACATCCCGTACGGACGGGGCGGCGGGGCGCCGAACCGACACAGCTCATACCTGGACGTGCGCGGTCCGGCTGCTCGTGACCCGCGCGACGCCCGCGGCCCGCCCGGACCGCCCGGGGGGTCGGCGGGTCGCGGCCGCGGCGGTCCCGGCCCGTACCTGGCACCCTACTGCACCGGCTGGGAGCAGTGGAGCTCGCCGCGTCCCGGCCAGCCCGCCACCTCCTCCCGGGTGAGTCTCTGTCGGCGGCCATCAGCCGCGCTCTGTGAGGTAGTGTGACTGCACCGAGTGCAGCGGGGAAGGGGAGGGGCGGGATCGGTTGAACCGAACCGGACACCGCTGACAGACCGGCTCGCACGGGCTCGTACGACCCACAGCGGTGAGTGGTGCCTGGTGCGCCGTACAAACCGACCATGGATCTCCCCGCCGAACAAACGTTTGGCAGCCGAGGCAGCTGAGGTAAACTCCGCCGGCGCCCAGCAGCGTAAACAGAGGCAGCTGCTGCGCCGGCCGCGCGGTCTACTGCGCTGTGTGCTGTGTGCACTGAGCACTGGCCGGCGGGCGGCTCGGCTTGTGTCGCCGGTCGTGGTAGTGGCGGTAAACTGCAGAACTGTGCGGTGGACAGGGTGCGGCCCGGCGCCGGGCTGGCGGGGCAGCCGTGCAGGTCGGGTCAGAGGAGAGACCACCGTATCAGTGACGCCAGGGTCTAAATAGGAGAGACTGCAGCGTATGTCGGCTGGCCGCGCTGTCACTGCTGTCACGATTGGAACGGTGTCGGCTGTCACGGTCGTCAGCAGGCGCTGTCACCTGCGGCGGCTGTCACGCAGCTACTCCCAGCTGTCAGATCGGCGCTGTCAGCTGTCACGCCGCTGTTGCCAGCTGTAGCGACCGCCGCCCGGCTCCGCCGTGGTCCCTGCGCGCCGTCAGGAGACGTTTGGTCAATATGCCGTCCGCGCCGCGCCCGTTGCAGCGAATTGGACCGGCGATGAGCCGATTCGCCCGGGAGACATTGTCCGCAAGTGAAACGGGCCTGAGAAGCCCTAACGCAACATCCGTCCTTTGTACATGGCCGCTGAAAACGTTGGGCAATGTCGGTGTTGCGGAGCAATGCCCCCGGTGACCTCGGTCGTTTCCAGCCCGAAACGGTCGCCGTCGACCGGCGCTCCTCGCTTCGTCAAGAATAATTACGATGACCAAAAAGCGCCTGTATCCGGGTCTATTTGCATGCAATCAGGCCAGCATTCCGGTGAACGGCACAAACGTCGGCACGCCCGTCGGCTTCTGCTGCCGGTTCTGCGGCAAAAATGGCGCTGCCGAGTCACGCGACGCGGCGGCTCGGGCGGCGGGGTGCGGGTCGGCCGGCCGGCCGGCTCAGCGCCGTTTCCAGCAGGTCGGTCCGGCCGCCAAGGCCGCCGCCACGCCACAGTGCCACCGCCGCCGCACTGCGCCGCGATCGAACCGGGCCACAATGCCGGCGCGCCGCGGTGCGTGCCGTCACCGCTGCGGTCCCACAGCTGACTGCGCGGCCGGCCGACTATTTGGCCCGGTCTTCGGCGGCAATGAATGGACTGCACCAGTCCCAACAAAAAATACCCGCCCTCAATGCTGGGGAATGGCTGCCGTCACAGACTCAAACCGGCCGTATGTATGCTTATTGCTGGTGTCTGTATATAAATCGGCGATTGAAGAATGACTCCCGGTGCGCTCGCCTCACTGGGCTCTTCCCCTGCGCTGACGCCGTCGTCTTTGTCATATCCTGCGCGGATGTTTTGTGCACCGGAGCGTCGATAAGGCTGACTTATGGCGCGGCCATTATTGGGCCGCTAATGATTGGCCCGTTTTCGCCGGTAAGTGACGGCGCCGAGGCCGCTGTGCGGCGGCGCGGACGAAGGTCGTGGCGGTCAGAGACGTGTTGACTGGTTTTGTGTTGCTGTTGATCTGACTGCGCCTCTGTGCTGGTGATTCACGCCGTGGTGCGCCGCGCCCGGCGCCGCTGGCCATCGCTCAGCGTGTCGGCGCAGTCGGGTTATTAATCTCCCTCGGACGTCATAGATGGACTCTGTTCGGCCGGCGGTTTGTTTTGGCGCCGGTGGTGGTGGTCCGTTCCCTTTGTGCTGCTCGCCCGGCCTGCGTCGTACTGCAGTGGGAGCTATGACAGTGGGTGGGTGTGACCCTCGCCATGGTGTCAGTCGTCGGTGCTAGAGAGGACAGAGTACATGGAGGGACACGGGAGAACCTTCACCATACTACCATCCTCTGTATTCAGTTATTCACGTTACCAGTTGTGGAACGGAGGCGGTACCCAGAAGTCATCTGGTAACGCCAGTACCCGGTAACACCTCAGAGAAGTCCGTCTGGAGAGCCATTCAAATGGAGCTGATCAGATGAGCCGGCTCTCGACACGCGGGATGCCCAGGTGCGTCCCTGTGACGTCAGAGATGACGTCATGAGTGTTGCGGCGGTGACGTCAGTCGGTCGGTTTGTCACAGTGGCAGTGGGAGGTGCACTGCGCTCCGATGATGCGCCGGCCGGCGCGGTGGTGGGCGGCGGACCCGGCTATCAGCCTGTCGCGCACGGTCCGTGCCGACCCCGACTGCCCGGCCCGCTCCCGGGTGTCGGCGGCGGTCAGTTGACCTTTGTCGAGCGGCGCCGTCGAGGCGGCGGCGGGGGCGGGGCGCCGCCGACGGCAGAGTTACCGACGGCACCTCCATCGGGCGGTTCAGCTCCGGAGTTGCAGCAGCTGCCACTACTTTCCGACGAGCTGCAGCAGCATTTACTAGTGGCCAGAGCAAGCGAGGCGTGTCGGGATTTCGCCGACGTACTGGCAAAATTGCCGATTGGTTTCGAACTGAGCGCCGTGCCGTCGGCAGCAGTGCCCTAGTTAACATGTCAGACGCCTAGTTCGGGAGCGCGCCGCGCCGGTGCCGGAAGCTGGTGCCGTGTCGATCGGAGCCGGTGACGGGTAACGGACTGCCTCTCAGTGAGAGTCCGCCTGTGACGGCCCGTCACGGCCCGGTGGCGCCCGGACGGCCGTGACGCACCATCGTGGCGTGACCCGGCCGCCGGCGCTCGCTCGGAACGAGAGACGGCCGCGAGAGGCGGCGCACGTTCTGACCCCGATCTCCCGGCGCCAACCGGCCGGCGGACCGCCTCACGGCCACGCCCGCTGCTACAGCGCCGCGGTCTGAGCCTCAGGAAACCAGTCACAGCTGCCACCGGCCGGGACCGGCGCCTCAGGAAACCGGGAAGAGCTGCAGGCTGTGCGGCAAGGCGCGCGTGGAGACGTTTTCCTTAGCTTTGCGTATCGTGCGAAGTCGCAGTCGCGCTCGTGCTATGCGGTACAGCCTACGTTCAGGCGGGACAACTAGTGACATCTAGCGAGAGAAGCATGCGAATCATCTTTGCTGGTTCAATGCTTGTGCTAATCGTTCCTTGCCGCTTCGCGAGTGCAGCAAAGCAGCTTTAGCAATGCATTGCAAAACATTTGGTGTCTGAGATAAATCAGACGTTTGCGCTTTCTTTCTGATATGTGGCGTCACGCCCACCAGATGTCTTCATAGCCGGAACTGGCGGACTAATCAATACCAGTCGCCTTCCTGTCAGTCTCCTGTCGGTGCTGGGCGGCACGCGATGCCACTCTCGTCTGGACTGGCCGACTATTTCACCTGGTCGGCCGTCTCTCGTCTGTGTGATGACGGGTCTCCGTCTGACTGACGACTCGTCTGTCTGTTCTCTGCGTTTGGCCGGTCCGTGAGACGGCATGCCGCTTCTAGTGTAAAGCGGCAGCGTCATGCCACATGGTGACTGGATGGGTGTGGCGGAGAGGGGGGAGGGGGACGAGAAATGGAAAGCGACACATGTGCAATGAGCGTCACTGAAAGACCAATACTTTGCACGTATTCATGATTTTGTGTAGATTGGTGTGCAAAGTGTTTTGGAAAGCACGTAGGCGTGTCCGTGCTCCTGAAATGATTTGTCCTTACAGCTGCTCTGGTATCAAGGAAGTTGGTAATGATTTTGCTGTGACCGCAGCAATTCACCGTATCTAAATTGCCTGATTTCGCTGAGAGGGCCGCATATTTTCTCTGCTCCTGCCTCCTTCTGCTGCCGGCGGCTACTGATGCGCGACTGCGGTGCGCGGCGAGGTTTCACCTTTGCGAAGGTCTGTGGCCGGCGGAGCGGCGAGAGGGGGAGAGAGAGGAGAGAAAGAGGGAGAGAGGGGGTTCGGGCGTGACCGCGGCCTTTCGGACGCCGCTCGCCGGCCGGGGTAGGAAGGAGAGGAGATGAGCGGGAGGAAGGAGAGGAGACGAGCGGGGAGGAGATGGGATGAAGACGGATGACGGTGCGCCGGCGTGGCGGGTGTTTTGTAATACCACGGCGAGCGGCCACTAATCACCGAGCTCGCAGCGGACGGCCGAATACCGGCCTGCAGGCGGGCAGAGGCGGGAGAGGGGTGGGAGACGGCACACCACGCCACGCCACGCCACACCACATCCCGCCTACTCCGCCGGGACTCCCAGCCAGGCACACACGAACGGAAAGACAGCACCGGCCGCCTACGGTCGCCGGAGCGCTCGGCTGCCGCCGTGGAAGACTTTCACATTTGTCTGGAATGCGATGACGGGAGCGGCGTGTGGTACGGCTCAGCGGTCTGTTGCTCAGTTCAGTGGTCAGCTGCTCTGACCGCACCGGTCCACCGGCCGCTCTCCGCTCTCCGGCGTCCGTCGGCCCCTCCCCAAACATCTGTTTTTGCACCCCTAAACGGCTTTCACTTTTAAACCGCGGCTTAACGGCAGTGCGATCTCAGGTGGCTGGCGCTGTTGCAAGCTGGGGATTATTGCCTCTATCTCGCTGGTATCTCTACGCTTTCCATCTCCTCTCACCGACTCTCCTCCGTCTCTTCCCTCCGTCACTCTGCCATTCCCTGCCGCCGGCGCTTTCTTTTATCTCATCTCCTTTCTTTTTCTTCTCTCCCACATCCCGTTCCAGACGATCTACTCGGCTCGTGTGCTGCGTGCCGCAGTACTATTGTGCATTGTTTTGGTCCCGAAGGGTGGGACTGTTTTCGTTTCGCTTGTTTTGTCCGCGCGGCTGCCATTAGGCGATGTCGCTTTGTACGGGGGAGTGTCTGTCCGCACTCCAGACCCGGGCTCTACTCGCTCGATGGTCTGGAATAGCTCGCCGACGGCGACTGAGGGCTGTTTGGCTGCGTGTGTCGGACTGCCGAGTGG